ATATATATATATAAACATATATATATAAAAAACCAAATGGAAATGGGAATTACATGTGGACTTCTTTATGATGCCAGTCTTCTGTTGAGTCTTCTCAAAGATGCTACATATCATCGAAACTTGCTTTGTTATTTAGTTCCTGGCAGTTTCCCTCCTCCCACTGAGAGCCCTGGGCAAGAAAACTACTTTCTGGGAAGGATAGCATCTGGTTTATGGAAGTGGATAAAAAGCAGCCATTTATTTTAAAGGGCATGTCAATAAATAGCTCTTAATGAATTGCATTTATAAAAGTAAGTTTTGAAACCATAGTGGCATACCTGCAAAGCAATATTTTACTGAGAGACTTGTGTGGTAGGTTTGAGATGTCTGAGCATGGTAGTTTCCCATGCTGGTTTATTCCTAGTGAAGCCTATGCTTCCAGAGCGTAGCTGTGAATTAACAGCAATAAGCTACTGTTCGGGTTTTTGTGGATTTTGTTTTTTCTTGCTTTTTTTTCTTAAAGACAAATATAATACTTCTGATCAGGATCTGAGTCACATGTGCCCGTATGGCCTGTGTTGTGCTCTGGCACTGACATAACTCTGTTTGAAAGACGGGCAGAAAGATAATGAATCTGTTTTTTACACAGATCTGAAGTCAGTTGCTCAGCCTTTTGCTAGCCAGACAGATGAGGAGATATCCTTCAGCATCCAGGGATGAGCACTCAAGATTAGACCCAGAACACCAAAATACATTTTTATTCTGTTTATACTCCTTTTATACTCTCTTGTTATAACAGGATAAGCAGCCAAAATGAGGACAAAGATGGAGACTCTGATAATACAATCAGTGAGTTGCCTCCCACTCTTGAGAACGTTTCCCCTGACAGAAGGCGGTTGTCTTCAGATGCATCACGGTCCACTTACAGCCTCACAAGGCGGATTTCAAGTAAGGTCATCCTTCCAACATTAATGTAATTCTTGTGGGGAAGAAAATGAAACTGTAGTGCTTGCTCTTTCATCTTTTAGACAGGGAATCAAGTCAAGTTGAGGATACATTAATTAATAAGTCTCCTGTTCTGCAGGAACACAGTGGAAGGAGCTAGCCCCGTGTTTCTTGCTAAGGCACGTGCATGGTGATTCCCTGTGGAAGTGGACAGTGGGGGAAATGTAGCTGAGCTTGCGTTTCTGCGTGACTAAGGGGGCTACTACTTGTTGGCAGTGTAATGGTGAAAAGTCCCACTGGGGAGCCTGCAGTGCTGGGCGTAGCACAGACAGAATAGCTGCACGCAGAGAAGCACAAGTTGACTTGTGTCTCAGATGGCTTCAGTTGAGTTTCTAACAATTGTATTTGTGCATTTCTCTCGTTTAGGTTTAGAGTCGAGGAGGCCAAGTTCTCCGTTAGTTGACATTAAACCGATCGAATTTGGAATAATAGGAGCTAAGAAGGAAATAGTTCAGCCAACTATCCTGCGAAAAACCTATACCCCAGATGACTATTTTAGAAAATTTGAACCAAGACTGTATTCTCTTGACTCGAATAGTGATGATATGGACTCCTTGACAGATGAGGAGATCTTATCGAGATATCAGCTGGGCATGCTGCATTTTAGCACGCAGTATGATCTGTTGCATAATTATCTAATAGTGAGAGTCATTGAGGCTAAAGATCTGCCTCCTCCGATTTCTTACGATGGTTCAAGGCAAGACATGGCTCACTCCAACCCCTATGTGAAGATCTGCTTGCTTCCTGATCAGAAGAACTCCAAGCAGACTGGAGTGAAACGCAAAACACAGAGCCCGGTGTTTGAAGAGAGGTACACATTTGAAATCCCCTTTTTAGAAGCCCAGAGAAGAACTTTGCTTTTAACCGTAGTGGATTTTGACAAATTCTCACGCCATTGTGTTATTGGCAAAGTGTCAATGCCCTTGGGGGATGTAGACCTTGTGAAAGGCGGACACTGGTGGAAAGCCCTTGTGCCTAGTTCTCAGGTAATGGAATTTATCACATTATTGTCACGATTTTTCTCACTTTTTTTCGTATGATTCCTTTGCTTGTTGGCAAGTAAGGTGATTTCTAATTAGTCGTGATTTTGTAAATACAGCATGTGCTGGGTTGAACTATGGTGAGCCTATAGCTGGTCTTATAACTAATACTGTGAAGTAGAGGAGCTGTCTTTCATATTCAAAGGAGGTCACACAACAAAAGATGCTGTGTCAACTTTAACGAGAACAACTGAAGACTGCTTTGGAAGTCAGCACATTTTGGAAGATATTTCTTGTCACCGCGGTGACCTGCATCTGTTCCCAGACACTGCAGTGACACTGTCCTGTCTGGGTCACTCCTGTGGCTGTTAACACGACTGTGCTTTGAGGGCATGAGGGAAACCACTTGGTGCCAGTTCAGTAATGACATGATTCAATAAAGTGTATAGAAGACAAAATCTCTAGAGACTTGTGGCATAATACGTGAGCAAAAAATTGCAAGATAGTGGTAGATTTGTTGTCATCAATAAACTTGCCATAGATTTTGTCTGATATAAGTGGCCTGTTGCATGCATCCCAGTTTGAGAGTACAGTTTGGACTAGATTCAACCATCCCATGGGATGAGAAGATGCAAGATAGCGGTAGATTTGTTGTCATCACGTCCCTGAAGGAAATAAACTTGCCGTAGATTTTGTCTGATATAAGTGGCCTATTGCATGCATCCCAGTTTGAGAGTACAGTTTGAACTAGATTCAACCATCCCATGGGATGAGAAGATGCAGAGTGTCTGTGTGGTTCCATGTCTGTCGCAGGAGAGGCCTCTGGTCAGTGCCACCTGCTTGCTAGCCAGGAAAAGAGCTATTCAGTAGGAAGGTCTGAGCTGTGCAATCAGAAAGGGAGGCAGTTACCTACCAAATTGCTACTAGCAGTATTACCCACTTAACTAGAAGCAGAGGACCTTGGAAAAAGCCAAGCTAAGATCTCTTTGGTTGGAAAACACCTTTAAGACCATTAAGTCCATGAGCAGCATCTCAAATGTTGGTAATGTTGCTGTAAGGACAGGAGTACCTCTCAAGGTTCCTTACTAGCTCCGGGATTGTGATTTCTAAGTTTTAGGGCCTTTGCTGAATCAAAACCCTGTGTGCACTTGTCTGGTTCACATTTGATTTTAAAATTCTATTTTTTCTTTTTCAAAATAAAATTCTTTGATTATATGTGTTCACAAAGGGTGCCATAGCCAGAGATATTAGATGAGATGAACAGTGTAGCATTGACCTCACTGCTGTTGGCAGTGTAGGTCTGAGAGTCTGGTGCAGGGCAGAAATTTGCGATCGGACGCTTGTGGAGGTAAAATCCAGTGAGCAGCGTTCAGACATGAAGCCAGCTGGATCTGTGACTCTGCTTTGCCTGCTGTGTGGGGGGGCTGATAGTGCTTTGACCTCTTGCTCAGACCTTCTGCAGCGTGTAAGGGGCAAGAGATCAAGTTCCTGATACCTGCAAGAGAGCAGACTAGATTTGCTGTAATAGGAATAGGAGCATTATGGGCTTAGTCTGAACAACATTCAGGCAGAAAGGAAGGCTTTGAAAGTTGTGCACAAGTCAAAATCGTGAGGTCCATAAGTGTGTCTTTCCACAGGACGTGTTTGTGTCAGTGGGATCTGCTTTGCTCGGTGGAGTGGTGATAGGGGTAGGGGAAGAGGCATGTTATGAAGCAGTTCATAAGGCAAATGAACAAGGACAGATAGTCCTGTTCTCCCCTCACTGCCTTTTCCCCAAAAGTTTATTGAGAAATCCCTGCAACCATTTTTTTTTTTTTTTTGGGTATTAGCATTCATCACAGGCTCTGCATTGTGTATCTGAGGACAGAGCTCCCCTTTTTGCATCCCATTACCCTCCTGTGATGCACACTGTGGAGCCTTGCTTCTCCCCCTGGTTTTTGCATGATAAACACTTCTCTGTATTATGTATCTCTTTATTCGTAATGTGGGTTCATTCCACAGCTAATACAGACCTTGGTTAGACAAGATCAGCTCTGCCTTCGTGTGCCAAGCTCAGATCCTTCCTCCCTCCCTCTCCAAAGTTTCATTAAAAGCTGCTGCTGTTTTCATTGAAACAGTGCTGTCTGCATCACCAGGATTCTAGATAAATTACTTATCAGAAATTGGAATTTCTGATATTTATAAAAGGAAGAAGAAAAAGAGAAAACTCCATTTGAATGCACAGGCCTAACTTTACAAGTCTTTTGGATTTACCTGCTTGTCATACAGAGAAAAAAAAAAAGAAGAAATTCCTTCACACCTTGATTAGTAAAATGCCTTGTTTTGGTCTTTTCATGCTTCCTTGTTCTTTTTGCCTTAACTAGCAGATGGCAGCTGCAGAGAGATCAACAGTGCTTGTACTAGGACATCCAGGGAGGCTGTTTGGTATCATCTTCACAGGTTTTCTCTGTGATAAGATTTTTAAAGTTCATTGAAAAAGGTGTATTTTATCTTAATGATGATTAAATTCATTGATCAAAGGGTTACAATAAATCCTGGAAGAAGTAAAACAATAAAGCTGATTACTTTGAAAAAGCATATTTTAATGTCTTTCAATAACAGTGATGATTCTGCTAAAAATTTGTGAGTGTTTTTTTTGATTGCTAGCTGGAAGATTCTGCCTGTGGAATGACAGATTTGACATGTTGACAATTTTTTTTTCTTTATACTTCTCACTCTTTTGCTTGATTAGTTGAAGAACAGACAGGATTTATTAGTTTATTATTGGATTGAACCTGGGTCTGCTGATGTGTGCGTTGTGTTGTGGGACCTTGATAGACAGGCACAAAAAAATCTACGTCCAATAGCATTTTATTTTGTGGAAGGTGCCCTCAGATTCTAGAGACCAACACAAAGCCATTGTCGTGCAGTTCTGACCGTGAGTTGATTATAATTTGCCAGGCTGCCCTGGGGCTAGGACACAGAGCAGCAGCTCCAGCAACATCCCCACCCCAGTGGTAGAGACTGTGTTGGGGAAAGTGCTGAAGCAGGTGCTTGGAAAACCAGTAACAGGAGGGAGAGAAAATAGGCAGTTGTAGACATGGTATGTAAAGATGAAACACACAAAATATGTGGGGTTTTTTTGTTGTTTGTTTATTTGTTTTTAACTAGCATTTGTGGACAGAAACATGATGAGCTGGAGAGACAGAGGAAAGTGAATCCAGATGGCAGGAGCTGTGGAGAAGGTTTTCTCTTCATTCCAGTGGGAGTGGGATGGGGCAAGGTTTGTGGAAGAGCAGAGAAAGTGACCTAAATGGTATTGGCCAAGGTGAACATCTGTTCTGCACTCGCTGTGTCCACCTGAAAGCCATTGCCAGAGTGTGCTAATAAACTCAGGTGCTGAATTCTTGTCCCACCATAGTGCTGAGCCCCATCAAGCCCAGAGCTGGGAGACTGACTTGGTACAGGATTGTGCCAGCACAAGTGGGCTCTGCTAAAAAATGATGGGGGATGCCAACAATTTTCTACTGTATGTAGTGTTGGCAGGGACAAGTGGTTTTCTCCCAGGCTGAGGCACGGCCCAGCTTCTGCAGCCAGCAACTCCATTGACACCACTGCAAGCTGGAGCAGGATAAGCCCCTCAGACGTGTGAGTGGGACATACAGCTCCTCAATGGGTGAAAGCCCATCATCACTGATAGCAGAATATCTTCATTATTAACACCTTGAGGAGCTGCTTGTTAGCTAACAGCCTCAGAACTTACCATGGGTGTAACCAGGTGGCTGTACAATGTTGCCATGCTCATTATGTCAGGAGTGGGTTGTCAGAGAACCTGAATATGGGTGAGCAGCATGCTGTGCTCTCAGCCTTGAGGTATCAGTGCAATAAAACACTTGATGCTGAGCTTCAGGCAAAAGCCTGTGCATGTACATAAGTGCTTTTTTAGTTTGGAGTGTGCGTGGAGCACTTAGGGGGATTGTGTCCAAAGTGGGGGCAGAGGGGAGCTACAGTCAGGATATCATCTGAGCCACTAAGTAAGCAGAAGGACTTTTTCTTCATAGAAAATATCACTCCAGGTATTGCCAAATTCTTCATCCTTGATAGTTCTGGGAGGTTTTTCCTTGCAGGGTAATTAATGTGTTTCTAAAGCGCAGTAGCTGCTCGTGAAGTAGCTCCTGAGTCCAGTCCCCATAGGAACACTCTGCACTCCTTCAATATCCCCTTAAATGTGTGTGGCTTTGCCTAGTTACCATGAATGAAGTTGGCAGGCCTTGCTGTAGCTGGGCTCGGATTCGCACATTTCACCATTAAGATTAGTTTTGAAACACATGTTCAGGACCCCAAGTTTTATTGACATATGATTCATTTCTCTTTTGGCAGGTTTGAGTGGGCAGGAATAAATGTTTTAGACCAGCAGTAATGAGAGCTTGGAGATCGTTTTGCAAACGAAAAAAAAAAATCTGCCTGGCTGTGGTGGGAAAATAGCATAAAAATTCCTTCTCCCCTCAAATTAACCCATTTTTATACTAGAGGGAGTGTGTACTGGACTTGCTTTTTTACCTTCGTACTATGAGTGCACTAGAATATGCTGTCAGCTTTTTACATTCAAAATGGTACCTGCTCCACAGATGGAGCAGCTTTGCTAAGTCAGGTCTCTGCAATTTTTGATTCCCATCTTGGGGATAAGCATACAACAGGTACAGGTTCTTCCCATGCCTTGGTTGGGAAGGAAAAGGGAGAAAGGAATTTGAAATTCAGGCAATGACAGGTTTTGGAGCTTTCCCCTTGGGTGCTACGCTGAATGCTGCCATGCAGCCAGGTGGTGACGGCGTGTGGCTTGGAGACCTCCAGCTGTGTGTGTGCCTGGGTTGTTCCTGGCACCTTTGAGGCCCTGAGAAGGAGTCATCCTTGGGGAAGGTGGGTGATGCCTTGCATTTGGTAGTAGAGTGTGATACTGAAGATAATGCTGGTTCCCATCTCTTGTACAGACCTAAAGCACTGGACAGGCAGAAGCTTGGTTCAGAGAG